ATCTTGGTGCTAAAAATCTGTATAAATCATTAAATGGTGTTCCATTACAGAAATGCATCTTCTACTTAATCTTAGTAAAAGAAGTGGCTTTGATTAAGGAATCTCAGTGGCAGAAATATTACCCTATAAGTGGATAATTTGTGGGGGTTTTGTTGTATAACAATATTCATTTAGGAAATTGCACAAGAGCTTTACAAAGATTTAATAAAGCTATTGATTGCAGCATTAAAAAAAGGCAAAACCACACTTTGGGTTTTCAGTTGTTGAGACTAAAATAAACTGATACTATTCCATGCTTTCTCCTAATTTGTTGAAACTGTTGTTAAAAAAGTGAAATACCTGGTAGCAGGAGTTCTACACGTGAAATCTTGAAGGAAACCTCTCCGGTGAAAGGAATGAAAATAACATTATGAGAGGCACATAGGTAAATTCAAGCTGTTTTTATACTGTAATTTTTGTAATAAAAATAGAGATTATAAGGGAAAAAACGTGGAGTTCATGGAGTGAACAGTTTTTCTCTGTGTGTCTCCTGGTTTTATTAAAGAAAATATATGTGTAAAGATGCTTGACAGAAAATTCTTGTTTCTCACTGCGTGATGTTCTCATCTTCAAGTCGCAGTGTTTCAGAGCTCTCAGATTTATTTGTGAGATTTACCACATATGATAACACAAAATTTGCAGAAGTTGTTCACACCTTTAGTTATTCCATTTCTTTTTTTTTTTTTCTGCCTAGTAGGTTCTTTTTATTTTTCACCTTGAATATGAGAAGTTTAATACTGTCGTTTGTTCTGCAGGATCTAGCCCTCGGTTACATTTCAGCCAGCGGCTAAACCAAATAAAATTGCAATACGTAATACTAGTAAATGTGTTAATCCTTGTGGATGTCTGTCTGCCTTTCTGTGTTTATATACACACTCCTATGTTTAGTAAGGATGTGTGTCTGTTATACCAGTATCCCCATCAGACTTCAAACTGAGGTGGTTAAATGTAGTGGAATCTCAGTGGTGGAAAAGCTGCTTCAGTGTTTGTGGAGGAGTAGGATCACAAAGGAGCAGGGAAGGACCCACAAATTCAGGGTGTTCTGCATCACAGGGTTGGATCTTCTTTTTCATTTAATCTTACCCACTTCTAATCCCGCTCTCATTTAGAGCAAGAGTCATGTTCCCAGTTGTGTGATTTTAGGAATTTAATGTTTTTTAAGGGTGCCTAGAAAATATTATAACTGAGTGGGGGAAAAGAAAAAGCAGTATCCTGTGTTCAAATTGCATAAATACATACCTCATACATAAAAAAATAGCAAATGTTGATTTGTAACCAACTTAAGTATTAAATTGCTAATTTCTATTTTTGCACTATGATGATATTTACTAATAATGTCAGACAATTATATTTTGTTCTAAGCTCACGTAGTTATCATGCCTTAATTAATAGTTTGGAAATAAAATAAGCTGTTGAGCTATGTACAGATTTTGTGATTCAAAATGGTTTTCGTGAGGTTCACATAGGAATAGATTTTAAGTATGTACAAATGCCATCCTTGTATTCAAAGAATTGTGCCTGTATAGTATGTTAGCGTGAAGTTCCAAATCTTTTTTGGCCTGCTGACTTTTCTGGTGATTTTATTTGAGCTGTACAGGTTTTACTTCTTGGTCATGAATTTAGTCTCTGTGAAGGCCAAGAGGTGGAAACCTTCTATTATTCCAGCAGTACACAGGACTCCCTGCACTGCTGTATCAGGAAATCTCAAATAACAGTTTTATGATGTATGAGGATATTGCTCTCTGCAAGCAATAACACGCATTTCTATTTCCCCACCAATATCCACATAATCAAACATTCACAAGTGCTTTACAAAGAATTTAATTAAATAATGTGCAAAGTAACTGGATGCAGCATGCACACAAGCTGTTATATATTCAGAAGTTTGCATTTGGCAGTTAGTGCAGAGCAGTTCTGAGCAGTAATATGTATGAATGATATTTCTATCAAAACGTACATTATCATCATCGTCCCTCCTTTTGTACCTTGCTCCTTAAAAATTACACTAAAAATGTGACAGATCTCACCTCAAGGAGCACAAGATACTTTCCTTAGTGCTCTAATGGTGCGATAAAGAGAGGGAAATACAAATGCTCATGCAGGGACATGAGCGTGAACGTGAAACATTGTTCCTCTGAAATCAAATGTTTATGACTCCTGAGAGAAAGATATATACCATTGTGTCTCCTACCGGAAAACAGGGTGTGTTTGGAATTTTATTTAAGAGTAGTAGTAGTCAAGACCAGCCACTGAAGAATGTAATTTCTGAATTAACAGAAACATGACTTGGACATTCAGAATTTAGACGTGGACAGGGAGAAGCAAAAGATTTCTCCTTTTGTGATGAGTCCATTCTTTCAGTTGCTGGAGATTAAGTCTCTCCTTTGGTGTGAGAGTGCGGTGGGTCAGACCCAGCACTAGGAAAAGGTCGGAGTGTGTTCATGTGTTGTAGTGCACTTCTTAAGTCATTCAGCATTAGCGGTGTGCATTAGCGTTCATATGGATTAGCATTCTGGAAACAAGCAGGGTTGTCTATTATGTTTTGTTTTGTCTGTTCAGAAAAGCCCTTTAAGCATTAGCTTGAGAGGGGTTTCCAGGCTTGCAGAGCGAGGAGGCTGTGTGATTTAGGATGTGATTTAGGATGTCCCTCTGCGGTTGTCTACTTGCCAGGCTGTTAGCTGTCCGTCAGATGGGAAGGTTTTATTGGTATGTCGGTGCTACAAAGTATCAGTCTGAACCAGTAGACTAGTATCAATGATACAGACAGTGACAGACAGTCTATAATTGTCCTGTAAAGGTGTTTATTATTAGACCTCACCCTGGTTTCCCAGTTCCTTGGGGTTATTCCAGTTTATTACTGGCTGACACTGATGAAATCCAGTCCATAGTAACTGGCACACAAGACCGGAACCTACAAATGAACCCAAAAGAAAGAAAGGAAACAAAAGGTTCAGTTAAAAGTGTTAGTTCTGTTTTGGTGTTGCTTTGCTTATATGAAGGGGATTGCTGAAAACTTAATTGGTGTTGATATGAACCGAATCTGTCTGTATTCCTCTGAAGATGCCTTGTGGAGGAATGTTTAATTGCTGTAGGAGAAGTAACGGCTTTATTTTCAGACTTGAGAATGAGAGAGATACCTGTTTAATGTTAATGAAGATTTGCCATTAACGAGAGCAATTTCACCTGGTTGCCTTTGTGTCCTTTTTCTTCATCCTTATCCCTTCTTTGTATACCAGACAGGATTTTTTCATTTTGCATGTCATTTATAACAAATTACGGTTACTCTAAAAAATTACTACAGTTCAGGCTTCAACTGAAGAAGGAAATGAAAGCATGTAATTTTGAATCTGCTCTCATGTCTAATCTTGAACACCATGTTTTGTATTTTTACTTTATTTTCTTTAATTAAGCAGTTGTTCTGGTGTCTGCCTCTATATAAAATATTTATTCTTTACCATTTGTAGTATGACTGTTTACAATTTGGGTATTTTCAGTTTGCTTGTATTTGGATGTAGCTGCTAGGCGTTCTCTGTGCTTGCACTAGAAGGCTGATATTTTTCTGCTTCTTGTATCAGACCCTTTTTTGGGATTGCTGGAATATATCCGAGTTCTCCATTCTAGATATTTTAGTGGCAACTTCCTGTGAATGCTGAGCTAGAGCTCCTACTATCAGGTTGTTTTCTAAGCCAAGTCCCCCTCACGCATCAGCAAGCAAACTTAGGAGATGTTTCAGTGCTGTGTTATAGTTTAGAGAATTATTAGAATGAGCAGGTCATAATTTTTTTTCTTCAGGTTAGGAAGTCGACCCAGAGACCTTTCATCCCACTCAGTGAAGTATCGCCTAAATATACCTGTGTTAACTGCGAACGAACTAGCTTTGGAACCAGAGGTAATACAGCCAAATGAGAGGAGTGTGGCAGCCAAGCTAATTAATTAAGAAGCCAGGCTAATTAGTTTGACTGGAGGGAGTACCACGCTGGTGCGACAGTGTAGCTTCCAAAACTCTGACTGATTTGTACATGGCCTGCACTGGGCTTCTTTGTAACCATAGAAGTTGTTTCTGGGCTTTTAGTTGGTTTTGTCATGAATCAGCTTTGTGTATTAGTTTATTCCCTATGTCAATTTACTGTAGTTTTAGGTGCATTTCCAGCTGATAGTCAATTTTAATTCCTTTTCAGTCTTCTGCAGTAAAATTTTTCTAACATGAGTAGATGCTGCAATATTGTCTTCTTCAACCTTGTGCTACTGAGAGAAATTACACATTGTTTTTTTTTTGACCTGATGAAGGACCTTCCCATCTTCTTCCTAATATTTTTGTCACTTACTGAATACAAAAACTGAAATAATACTCCTGAAGCTGTGTATGGCACCAGTGTTCCAGCCTGTGGGGCTGAGAGGTGACTGTCAAAGGTCCTGTTCTCAGAGGATGCATGCTAGCAATAGTGCATACTGGAAGATGCCTTGTTTTTTAACAACTGATGATTCTGAAATTTGCCATATTTCTGGTTGTTATGAAACAGTGCTTCCCTTAATATCAGTTTTACATAAGTTTGATGTGCAAGATATTCATGAAGGAGTTACTTCAGTGAAAAGATAGAAAATACTTGGGGTAAAAGCCTGTGTTACTACATTGATGTGGTGTAGGAAACATGAGAGTATCAAAGCCGGAAGTAAATCAACAAGGTATTTTAAATAAGGTGGATTATGCACAGAAAATTTCAGTTAGAATACCTAGTACTGTATTACATGAATAATGTGATAATCACATGGAAACAGATAGTGGCATAACATAAAAACCCGAATATTTTATTAATGTTTCCAAAATAACGCTACTAGAGAATTAAAATATACATATATGCTATTTAAAATATACTTTTGATGATGCATTTATGGTGTTACTTACCATAGTTCTTCAGCATGGTAGCTCTCACGAGTTAACATCTATTTTTTTCTGTTTCTAGATCTGTTAGCAGTGCCTAAGCATCCATATGCTGCTATGGAGAACTGGGGACTGAGTGTTTTTGTGGAGCAAAGGATACTGCTAGATCCAAGCATTTCTTCTATATCATACCTGCTGGATGTCACCATGGTCATTGTACATGAGCTATGTCATCAGGTATTGAAGGAGTTCAGATATTTGACAGCAATGTCGGAGCCATGCAATTCCTTTTCAGAACTGAAAATGAGGTTGTGTTGTTCCCTTAAATGGTTGCAACTTTTATTGTAACTGTAGACGAAATAAGACGGAGATCCCTAAGACACAACACTACAGTGCAGAAACTGGGAAGACTCCAAATGGGGATAGAAGAGAAAACTAGTGAACAACTTCCCTGTCTTTTGTGGGATTATATTCTGTATGTTTGTGTGTGAGTGTGTAGACTAAACACACTAATAACTGCAGAAAATGATTTATTGCAGAACTATAGCAGATTCATTCTGAATTTCATGTTCATGTCAAAAAAGGTTCTGGCTGAAATCAATTTGGTAGTCATCTTCTTCCATCACATACAGACATACTTTAATTTCTTTTCTTTTAATATGGTTTTGACCCTCTGTTCACTAGTGGTGGATAATTGAGTCTTTATGTATACAGAAACTTTTGTATCAGTAAGAAAACTTTGTAATAAACCCATATTACAATTTATTTTACATTTCTTCCATCATCTTATCTCCAACTAAACACATTATGAGTGTTTAGTAATATTGCGTTGAATGCAAATGTTATTGAAGAAATTTCCTACAGAGGCAGGAAACCCTTTCTTGCTCTCATAAGAGGCATAATCATAGCCTTCAGGTTAAAATGAATGAAATCCTACTGTGTAATCAGCATGGCTTACATCTGTGACTTTACATAGTATTTTTTTAAAAGGCAATGCAAATTCTTAACACTTTCTGCAAATAAAAAGTACCCTATAAGAGGGAGCCTTTGCAATGGAGCTCTGGTAGATGAACCTGAAAATAATAATAATAATGTTTGGTTCATATTCATGTTTTGCATTAAAACTGTCGATGAATTTGAAGTCCTCAAGTAAAACATGAAATTTTTATTGAAAGTTATTGCTGGCTTGTTCTCAGTACAATCGTCTGATTTTGTTATATGCTTTTTATTCTGCAGTACACTAGAGTAGCACACTGTTCAGCTAGAAGAATTACAATACCTAAGGAATCAGGTGTGGAAAACACATATTAGGTCATCAAATCCCAGCTCCTGTTAGTATTAATAGGAATCTTCCATGTGATGTGTTTTGTAGTGCTGGGGTCAGTGCTTCTGATTACAGGGTTACACTGCTTCCCTTAAAACCTTTTGATTAAATCTGATGGTCAATAACTTTTTCCTAGCACTCAGCTTAAGTCTTCCTTTTTCTGAAGACATTCCATTACTTCCAGTTATTCTCTGCAGTGCTTTCATAATTTCCTCTGCTTCCAAAGCAATTTATAGTTCGCATGTGGGCAATTATCACATCACTTACTTGAGAAGTTTGTTTATTTGATTCTGATATCTTTTTCTCAATTTTTGCATTATTCTGGGAATATTAGAGGATCATCAAATGGGTAAAAACTATATCTGAATTTATTTTAGGGTACCAGTGCAATCACAGAGTGCTTTTCAGTGACCTTAAAATTACAAAGGTTTACTTGGTGTCTATGTTGATATTACTTCCAGTGCTGTTTGCTTGACTAAAAGTCAACTCCATTCACGTTGCTGTGGTTTCTGTTTTAGTACCGTGCAGATCAGATCCTTGCTCAGCTGCTTCACTGGATAGCTAGAGCAGATAGAAAATATTCAGATGACAGAAATATTATTTCTACATTTTGGATGCAGAATTGAGTCACAGAGAATATGGATTGCTCATCTGCACATAAAGTTTAAACGGAGAAAGCCTCCAAAAATACTAGCCACAAAGCACTGTCTAGCACCTCCATTGCAGTATTGTCTTTATTTAGCTATTTTTTTCTGGTTTTGTCTTACCGTACTCAGAAGGCCCTCAAGGAGACCTTAGCTATGGATAGCATAGAGCAGGAACTGTAAACAGTGCTAGTTGAGCTGAAAATGTTTTGAACTGAGACCAGGTGAGGTCCAGGATCTCTTGCCTCTGCTCTTTAATTGTTAATTATTTGCTGCATTTTTAATCTTCTTTTGCTGTGCATCATCTTGCCTGCTAATCTAGGGTGGCACATAAATATTCGTTCCCTTCACTTATTTTTACACACAGAGTAAGAGATTAACCAAAATCACTTCTGGTGCCACTAAAAGTAAAAACCACATCTCTGGTTCTGCCTTTTATTTATTGATTACTTTTTTTTAAATTTTGGGCAAGAGGAAAGGGAACTCTCCTAAAATATATTTTCCTAAAATACTTTTTTTTTTATAAAGAATTTTATCAGTGTCATATTCCCCTTGGTTTTAAACCCATGACTTGAAGACATATAGAACACACCTGAGCAGGAAACAAACTGACCTATATGAGACCCTTGTTACATAAAGTAACACAGCAATTGCTTTGCTAGCGTTGTTCCCAACATTAGAAAAGTCACATTAATATTAAGAATTGGGATTGTTAACTTTAGATGTGTCTTTAAAATCAGAATTCGCAAACCTGCTGGCTATTAGTGCTTGAGGACAGTGTTCAGGACAGATAGAAAATGAGAGACAGCATTGCAGAAGGGAAAGAAATTCTGTGGTTGTCAAAATACAGGTAAAAAGCATGTAAGAAAGAATTTTATGACCGATTTCTTCACAGCTCACTCTGTAATGCTTGACAAGATACATATTTTAGGTACATGTTTTAGGAGGGACACATTAAAGTTACACAGATAGCTTGAGTTTAGGCATTTTGTAAGTTGCTGGAGCTTGATATTTCAGCTTGAGTGTTCTTTTAGAACATTTTAGGTGCTTAATTAAAAAAAAAAAAAGTAATTGGAAGGAGTGTTTTGGCATAAAAGCTTCTCCTCAAGCCCGCCGAAAACAAATGAGATATTGGTCAAAACACACGTATTTCTAGCAGCTTAAGTTAGTAGCTTGAAACAATTACCATAATTTATTTAAATAACTATTAAGGTAATAATCAGTTCTATTTTCTTATCACAGATCAGTCCCACCTACAGCCTTTGAAGAAGAAGTCATTTGAATTTATGCACCATGATTTTTTGTGATAGTGTTCCCACCTGAGCACAAAACTTGGTGTGACAAATTGAGTTAAAGAGACATGAAAAGCAAAAGGAAAATTAAAAATTTCTATTGCAAAGTTTTTTAATAATCTGTAAAGAAAGCATGTAGAAAAAACTGTCCTTTCAGTGTGTCTTTAAAATAAGTGCTTTCAGTGTTTCAGGCTGAACATAATACTTGAAAGAGACAAGAAATGTAGGTAATCAATACACATTAATTCATTTTTGTTTTCCAAAACAAAAAGAAATAATGATCTTTTAAGGCAAATGGTGTCTATAGTAAAACACACAAATAAATAAATAAACAATTATGTAAATAAATTAAGTGCTTATATTTTCCTTTCAGACATATAACACCTTGGAAGACAATAGCACCTTTCTGCTGCAAAACTTAGCTTCATTAATTGTAGTTGCTGGTAGTGCTCTGTCTCTGACATTCATAACTATGTCTGACTAGTTAAGCAAATTTGCTACATTTTTGTATTGATATCACATGCTATTTTAATGCCTGTAAGGCACTTTTTCCTTTAGGTGGATAATTAACTGAATACTTTTAATTGTGTCATTAATAAATAAACCTGGAAAACTCACAAAGGAATGTAAGAAATTCTCTTTTGTGACATCATAAATTAATGTTATTAATTCTTTTGAGTTCCAGGAGGATATATTATGAACTTTACAACCTTTATTTTTTTAAAAAAACTCTCTCTGAATAGTGATAGCATACCACGACTTACTGGTTTCACATTTGTTCAGCAGTTCCTCTTGTAATTCAAGAAATAAACTCTCTACCATTATATTTTGTCTGTTTGTCATTAGAAATCATGTAAACAACTTATTCTATTATAACTTTCATACTTCTTTGGTGGTATGCTACTCTAATGTTTTAAATTGTGAAAAGTGCATTATCTCTATGAATGCTTTCCTAGTGTTTCTTTGTCTTTTCAGTTAAACATTCTTAATTTATTGGTGACCTTCAGCTAGATTATGGTCACAGAGTATCCATTAAGCTTAGTTTCACTTAGTGTGCGAATATGACTTTGTCAACCTCGTCTTTTCTCTCTAAATTCTTAAGTTGATTGTCAGTGAAATTCATTGTGATGTTTAGCTTCATTTTTTTCATTCAAATCCTATGTACTGGACATTGTGTATCAGTCTGGTAATCTCGGTTTGTGTGTCTGCCCTTTGGTGCCCCTGTGTTCACTTCACTACAGATGCTCGTTGAGGCATTGATCCCTCTGTGGCACAATTCTCGCTCCACAAGGACACGTACAGAAGTGAGACCTTTCATTCAGGTCTCAAACAAAGCCTTCAGATAAGCCAACCATCATGAAAGCAAACAGTTTACTGGCCAACTCTACTTTTATTTGTCCATTCATTACAGTGTCAGCAGCAGCTCTTCTGCTCTGACATGAGTCTCTCCCTCTGGAATACTTATTTGCTGCTCCCTTTCTATGTATTTTCAGAGTTTCTGACTCCATGAAAGCTCAAAATTATCTCTGCTGATTATGAATTAATCTGATTTCTAATCACATTAAGGAAAGATTTGGCAGAGAATTTTGCTGAAAGTTTTGATATTTGGCAAAAAAGATACTACAGAGAGTTTGAAAAATGCTTTCATAATGGTGTATGTATTTGTGCTCTTAACACTGGTGATGATCCAGGTTGTGCAGAGCCATTACAATAATTTAAAACAGGGTCATCCATTAACAGAAGAATTGATGACACTTGAAGTCCTTTGAGTTTTTCTCCTCATTTCAGCTCTCTCTAAAATCCCACTGACATCCACAAGTCATTCTTGCTTTGCCCTCAGTTTAGGTCCTTCTCCTTTTTTCAGCTGCTGATCTTCATGTACTTTTGTAGGAGTGTAATTTTCCTTGACATCTCTGCTCTTCTTTCTAAATCTAGATCAAAATGAGGAAATTTAAGAGCACGTGGCGGGAGCTGGAAGGCCAGTCAGCTTGGACAGGGCTCCTTTGCATAAACACAGGTGGCTTGTGCCATTTTAGATACCTCCTGTGGATATCTAAGCCTGTGGTTGCTTCAGGAAGAGTGCAAATCTCCTTGAAATCCTGTCTGAAATTTCTTAGGTTTGCGTGGGTGTCTCAGATCATAGAATCATAGAACATTTAAAGTTGGATCATCAAGTCCAACTGTCAACCCAACAACCATGACCGTTAGGATGTTCCTCAAGCGACATCAACTACCTGCTTTTACGTGTCTGAATTCTACATCCGGAGCGATGGCGTGATTGTATAAAACTGTTTTCCTTAGGAAACCAGCCAAGGAGCAAAGTATCAGTAGTATTGAAATCCTAGAGGGCAGACATGGTGGAGAAAGAAATGTTAAAATATAGGTCTGGGATATGGAGATTGGTTCCCAGTTTTTCCAGCTTCTCACTATATGGCTTCAGATTAGTTGAGTTGGAAGCACTTTTTCTGTACATTTGGTATATTAGTCCCTTAAACCTGGCTGAGCATCTACTATAGATAACTAAAGTAGACACTGAATATTCTCATAATTGCTTCTTTTCCCCTTCTTGTTATTTTCTAATGTTTTACTTCAGTAACTTGTGCATCCTGTGAAGGCTTAATTCATTAGTATATGAAAAAAACAGGTAATGAGTTCCAGTGGGAGGCATATGCTACTGTTTTTGTTAAAACTTGTGAAGAATGTGTTTTGTGTAAATGAGATGTGTATAAACATGGTTTCCTAAAGGTTGTTTATTTGAACTGTCTTTGCAGTGGTTTGGTGACCTCGTGACTCCAGTGTGGTGGGAGGATGTGTGGTTGAAAGAAGGTTTTGCTCACTATTTTGAATTTGTTGGGACAGACTACCTTTACCCAGGGTGGAACATGGTAAGTTGATTTTATTTTGTTAATTTAGAGACTCCACAGAAAAGTTCCTTTGCCATTATACTGTTGCTTTTGTTACAGACAGGGACTGCTGAAAAATACCAAATGATGCATGCAAGTATCAGATGTCCAATGAAGCAAAATCACTAGGTGTGAAATAATTTGACAGCATTCCAAAAGTGTAATCTCTGATTTATTACATAAGAAATAAGGTCATGTCTGTCATAGCCCAACATTAAATAACTACCATCTCTGTGCTCAGAAGCAGTTTGGATTAAAGCAGTTATGATTTAATATGAAGCATTTTTGAAAATATTCAGAATATTGAATTTTATTGACAAACGTGAGATAAATTAGAAAGTAAAGTTGAGCTGAAACATTCTGTAAAACTGAGCATATTTTTTCTTACATATTCTGTTCTCTTTGTAAGTTTGCTCTTTTAATCCTCCTGCTATTATTTGGCCATCTAGATGTAAATGTTGACTTAACATGGGGCAAATGAATTGAGATTCTAGTTTTGATTTCCAGCCATGCACAGTTAGATGTGCTTTGTCAACTGGTGTGCAAACACTGGAGCTCTCTGAGGGCAAACTGGGAAGGCCATGCTGGGATATTCTTTTGGAGTCCTTTGTTATATCATACGATACCTAGTCAGGTTCCAGTTTGTATTGACTGTCGTAGTCTAGAAATAGTATGCTCATAAGAAAAATAGGAGATATGAGACTTCAGGGCATGGAAATTTTGTGTGAGACCATGCTTACACATGTTTAATTATGAGGCAAAGTATTTGTTATAAATACAGATTGCCTAATGGAGATTTGTGGTAGCTTGAATGTTTTCCTTAAACTCTTGCATACTAACTTCCGAAATGTTTTTTTTCCATTTCTGTTGATTTGTTGACTATTCTTACCCCTTTAACTGTTGTGTGCCATGAAATGAAGATGTTAATTTTTTAAAGCCAGTTTTTAAAAATAATTGCATACAGGTACTCTTGCTTTCGGTATACTTCTTGTGAAGTTTGAATTCTTTGTAGTATTGTAATTTTTTTTCAGGTGTCAATTTTGGCTTATATTTGCATTGTGAAAAGGAAAATAAATTTTGATCTGAACTGATACCTGTTTTGCATATGTGGACTTGTTGGGTTTACCTAGCTTTGGGTGTATTAAAAGTCATTCTCTTCATCTATATGAAAAACACATCCTGAATTACAATGTAATGATTCTAATTATGAATGCAATGAAATCTGGCAGGCCGTTACGATTTTATCAGAGTGAAATGCCATAGGTGACGACGTTTATACGCTGAATTTTATCTTCAAATCATTGGTCATTTGTTCTTCGCATAATCAATTTAAAAAATCCAGAATAATTTTGCTTTAGAAGTCATTTGGTGTAAAGAACATTTGCCTGGCATTTTTGTGGAATGAATATAATGTTCACTGTTATGCAGACGACATACTCATCACGTAAAATCCTGGCGTCTTAGCAGAATACGGGCAAAACGGATGGGTTGAACAAGGTATGACAGTTAAACTAGGAAATCAGACACCTACTGCATAAATTAGAATTAACTACAGTAATACTGCTGTGGCTGAAAAAATATTAATCTGTCAAGTTTGTCCTCAAATTAAAAAGAAGTTAGGCATAAACTTTTCATGAGGCTTTGGATCATTGGTCTTTGATATAAAAATAACCATACTGACAGATTTAAATAGTTAGAAAATTGGTGACAAGATGGAACATTTGATGAGTTAAACATTTAAACATGCTGCATTCAATCAACAATTGAATCAGTACTGTGATGTTTCAGTCTTATTACAGAGATTGTAGGAAAAGGAAGCAAAAGATAGTTTTATTGGAATTTGGCTTGCTGACTATTTTTGTTGCTAGTATAAAGCATATTTACTGATTATAACATATTGACATTTGTAAACTTAAAAAAGAAAAACTGTTCTAAACAACTTTTTTTTTGAAAGTGAAGGATACAGTACAAGCTTCAGTTGTGAAAACAAGAACTACAAACCTTATTTTCTGTAATGATGGTTAAACAGAGCAATATTCTAGCATTCTGGGTGATATTTTGTCAGCCTCCGAAATAAAAATGTTATGGTGTATGATACCACACCTCTTTGCATCAGGAAAACAGTGATATGCCTAAACTCTCTTTTTTTCTTAAAGAATTAGGAAAGTAAGACAGTTAACTTCTTTCTCTTCTAGTTCTGAAATGTTACTCTTGAAACTGTGCTCGAGAAGCCCTTGGACTAAAATGTCAAATTCATCTTATCTTCAACTTACTACAAATTTTCTGTCACCTTTTCTTTTGGATAAATGTAGAAGCAGAAGACTGGTAGTCAATTCCAGAAAAAAGGACTTTTGTCTGGAAACACAGCTTGGGCAATATGGATACATCTGAGTCAAATGGACCTATCCAGAGCTTCCTACCTAATATGTTGGATTCTTGTTGGCTACAGGCACATAAGCATTTTTTCAGTGTCCATCTTATCTGGCATTTGCAGACTTGGTGTGATTTAACCTGAGACTCTTGAAGAAAGCTATCCATTAGACATGTTCACACTGTTACAACTTAAACCATCAGCACTGAATTCTGCACAAAGCAGAGAGCCATGGTTTCTATCTGAAACCTGTTTTCTGGCTTTTCTTTCTTCTCTAGGTTCTTTAGCTTGCTTAAATATTTCTTCCTCCTCTGGAGTTCTTGGTTTTGTCAATTTTTCTTCAATTGTTTTATAAGCTCTTCTTTTACCACAGGAAAGGTGAATGGATAACAATATTGACTGAACTGCCATGGAGCAGATCTGGAATTTCTTATTTTGTACAGAAGGCATTTACATGCTTCATCAGGCTTGCATAATCTTAATGAGAAAGGAAATCCAGTTCATATTAAACCCTTCCTTTCCTGATGTCCTGGATCGTGCTATTAAATTTTAGGGTGAAGAACAGAATGAGCAGAGTCATTCTGACAGAGGCATCCATTATCTCTTACAGTTAATATAAGATACATCAGAACTCTCCTGAAGAAGTGGACAAAATTTTGCACCTCTTGAAGGTGAAGCTACCTTTGATTTTGCAGGAAATATGTCCCTACTGCACAATCATGGTAATGAAATCACTATTCTTCCCATTTCAGCCTTTTGCCTTGTCTATCCCCCAAGTTAAGAGCTTCTTCAAATTCTTATTCTGAAATGTCTCCCAATTCTTATTTTTAAATGCCATTCTTCAAGGTCTTGGAAGTTTAAACGATTATTTCTGTGTTGTCAGGATGATTTTAAATTGAAAGCTGGCGCTTTAAACTGTCCCCCAGAGATCAGAGAATTTTGCTTGACCATGTGTGCTCAGAGTAGTCATCTGCATGTGAGTTCCCTGGCTCTTGCTGTCCCATGCCTTAGAAAGAGAGGAGGTTTCTGTATTAGAGGCTTACCGTAAAACTCTTTGGTTGTCTCTCCATGCCATCAAAGAGCAACAGCAGCTGGATGGGAGTTCACAACAAGATAATCTCACCTCTGTGGAAGGTGCCTCTGGTAGTTTTGGGATCAGAGAAAAGAGAAAATTACAGCAGAAAACTGCATGCTGATAATTTCCACTTCACAGTCCTGTCTTTCCTTATATACTCTGTTCACCCTCCTCCTTTCAGGGGCCTCTTTGCAACTATATATACCATCTTTCTCTCTTCTTATTCTTCTTATTATCTGGAAGTCCTTTGTATGTGGCTTTGTAGAGGAAGGAGTTCAGCTGAGGCTTACAGATCTAGGAATTTATTGGCTGATCTTTTGCCTCCTTATTTTCTGGTAGAAGGAACCATCATGTTTGTCCTTGAATGTGTCTGGTATTGGGGTAGGTTTTGAGGTCTATGACAGCAGGAATTACTGGCATGTAATTTTCCCTTTCATCCATCAAACAAGCATCAACTACTTTAGTGGTTAGTACCCAGCTTGATGCTGAGAAAGCATTTCATAGAGCCCAGCTCCCTTCTCCCTTTATTATATGAAAGTTAGCTTTGCTGACAACTTTATTGGCTGAGTCAAGGTGTACTACATCAGTGATAGCTTTGAATCCTCTGCCTTCTCAATCCATTGAAGCTCTGGAATAAGATGTACCACTTTCTTGTGTGCTTATTACTTTTATAATTAAGGATGGTCATATTTGCTAGAAATGCTCTTAGTCTTAAGCAATTATGATTAAAGTATCTCGAGCAAAACTTGGTGCCTACATGGAAGGGCATCTTTCATCTTTCTTAAAGTGAACCATGGTTCCTTCATGCTATTGTGTTCCACAAGTCTAGACAATCCTGCGGGCAGCTGAAAAGAATAATGAGGTTGCATATCAACATTTCTGTTTTAAAAATACATGCTGCAGAAATTACCTGTGCCTAAAAAAGTTAATAGAAAACCATTTAACTGAACTTCATTGCATTAAGTACTTTGAATATCAGACAGCGTGCTTCCCAAATTTGTGATAAATGATCTTAATTGCCTAGCTTTCTCATTGACTGGATTGAAATAATAAATATGACCATTAGACAGATGTATGTCTTCAGCGTGCATTGACTTAGATTACCTCCTAAAGCGTTCGTCTCCATCTGTAAAGTTTTTTAGACATTGTTTGACTCAAAAACCCCAGAAAATCGTTATAAGTTTTGAAGTAGACTTAAGACATGGGCCTTTTTGATATATTTCATTATTATTTTGGCATTTCTCACTTGAGCTGTAGCCTGCTTGATCCTTCTAACCCACCATAAATATCACACTGGCTCAGCATTGAGAGAGATTCAGTGTTTCATTTTTTAAAACTACTTTCATGTCTTCTTTTTTGGATAAAGTCTCCCCATGCTGGTATAAAGTAAGCCTTTAATTAATACCACATGGAGTGTTTTTTCCCCCAGTAACTGTTCAGTGAAGTCAGTCCTTGTATGATTTTCTGTTTTAACTCAACTATGGGAGAAGCTTTCAATGTAAAATTAACTAGAATCTCATGTATAATTGACTTTGG